TATCTCTGTTGTCGATTCATCCTGTCATTCTAAAGTCTCTTATTATATCTTCTTTTCAGAGTTCCTTCCCATCTATTATGCTATGCTTGGTTCTCTTGGTCAGACGGATTACACGGATAATGCTATTTACCATACAAAGCCCTACGAAGTGGTCTATTGTGGATTGTCCGTCTTTCAATAGTGCGTAGTGCAGTGGATGATTTATATTTTCAAGGCGTGCACATGATCTTGGCACTAAATCATACGCGGTGCACGTGTGGATTTGTAATCGTATTTGCATATCTTGGAATAAGGCTACCGGGGTTTGTCTAGTGCTAGTTTGTAGGCCAATGGGACTGTCTGCCACGTCGTCATTGGTGCATTCAACAGAGCCAAATTGGAAATAGATTGAAAAGATCAACTACTACAACTACCAATTTAAAAACACATAAAGGCGTAGTATCGTTACGTGTTGTATGTATCGATAGTGCCCCTGTCATATTCAATTCCAACCACGTCAATCACCGTGAACTCGAATATTATATGTTGCCGTGGCCATGGTGTGACAGTATCGTACTTCAGCGTCAATTCCACTTCGCGATTCTGCCCTTCCCTACAGACATCCAAAATCCTTCCAGATTGATGAAGTACGCTAGTACTTCCCTACATAAATGCTTGAACGTCGAAAAGCATGTGGGAAGTCGAATTCTTGAGGGACATGCCAATATGAGCGCTTCTACTTGCAGATATGCACCACTCACCGGCGAACTGCGAATAGTTTTAGTATTATTTATTGGCACGGCGATTTAGTTCCATCTTCACGCAGAATTTGTTTGTCAACAGTGCAGCCTTAGCGAGTCATGACTTCATTTATATTTTAGCGGCTTGCATGCATTGTATGCGATACGCTCATCAACTATTATCTATCAAACCACACTTACATAGACCTACGCTCTGACGCACAATGACGTGGACGTAGTCGGTGTTCGAGAACTCGCTTGTGAATATGTTTGTGAATTTGTGTTACAGACTGGTGAACGTGAATGAGTGGCTTAAAATATTTCGGTCGCGTAGAAACAACGCGCCATGACACGTGTCTCATTTTCCTCGCGCAATCCCAGCTCTGCAATTAATACAGAAGTATTCGAACGCACGCGAACCACCCTCCACGTCCATCCCCATAGTCGGTGTCTTCCCTTCCACATCTATTAATATACCTGGGACTACACTATCATCCGTTTCACTATCCCACTTCCCGATAATGCATGCTTCTGTTTCTTCATCTACAGAAGTGTCCGCGTAGAGCTCCTTGTCACACGCTTCGTTGATATCGCACGCAATGCACACCTCGGCGTGGCAGCCCTGGCAGTACAGAAGTCGAAACGCACACTCGCCGCATTGATGTTCGCGACACTCATCGCACTTCACCCCATTGTCTGCGCACAGCTCGCACACTACATCACCACAGCCGGCACAATTGATGCAGTCACTGCACTCTCTGCACTTATGCGCTCCACAAGACAGGCATCCGAACATATCTGGGTCTTCGCATGTTTTACACAGCGTCTTGTCGCATTGGGTGCAGCTAAAGATGTTGCCTATCTTACAACTGGCACAGTATACTACGTAGCAGTTGTCGCAGTACACCAAGGTGTTCTCACAGTTCTCGTTTTCACATATGCGAGACCCACATTCATCACAGGAGTCTCCGGCACACTCCGAACAAATGAGTGTTTTGCATACGTAGCAATGGTCAATTTCGCCGCAATCGAAGCACATAATTTGCTCGCACTTGTCACATTCCTGGGTATTGCCGCATGCTAGTAGGGAGTGTAGGGAACGCTAGGGGATCAGATATTCAAATTAATGCTAACCACCAGCTTGCATTTGCACTTATGTTTACATATTATGCGAGTGTGAAATGCTACTTTGATGCTTTATGCATGATATATATTTTAAAAGTCGTGGTTCATGAACAGTGTGCTTAGCAAGTGCATGATTTGTATATGATTAAGATGGAGAATGCGTGACGTCAAGGAACAACTAAACTGTTAGAATAAGTCTTGTGAGTGGTAAATAATACGAATGTACACAAAACGCGTCGTTGACTATGTGCGCATCAACTACGTCAGACATGGCACGAAAATAGGATAGAAATGTAGCTCTTGCTCGTTGAACCACTCCGTACTTCTATTGTATCTTAGTAAACAAATTACTTTAAAGTTTCAAAGAGACACACCCCCAACGTACAGATCAAAAAGCAGGGTACTTAACCACTCAGCTAATAAGTGAATAAAGTGTAATATGTATCTTCGATATATATATACATATATATATGTATATTATATATGTATATATGTATA